CACATTGCATTTTTGCTTGAAAAACATAGAAAAGGGCCTCCTCTGGTGGCGCAGCGGTTGAACGCTGGGCTGTGAAGCTGCCCACAGCCTCTGCAGCGCCGGTTCAATCCCCGGCCACCGGCGAGGGTCCCACATGGCGCACAGACCTCTCCTGTCCCGCCCGCTGCTCCCCTCAGCAGTGTATTTCGTCAGTCTGCCTGTTCTGTTCCCCGCTCTGGCTCTGGTGAATTCTCTCACCCTCCCGTGCTTCTGACTGTACCCAGTGCTTGTATAAATAAATAAATAAATCTTTAAAAAAAAAACATAGAAAAAAATACACAACTTTTCCGACAGTCCAATAAATCCTGTGAATGATAAAAACCTGGTTTTGGGTTTTTATATGCAGGGTCTTTCAAGAGTTTTGGCTTATATTTCCTTGCAACTCATCACCCCACTTAACAGATGAGAAAACTGAGACCCAGAGGGGCTAGGTAAGTTGCCCAAGTAGCAGAAGAGGGCTTGAGCCAGGTAGTTTGGTTCCAGAGCCTCCATGCTTAAGCCTGTCTCTGCCTGGAACCCTTCTGTTCTTGGGAGAATAAAGTCTTAGACACACTATGTGGGGTTGGCCCCACCCCTATTTCCAGAGGGGCAAAGAGCACAGAGCTGAGTTCACACAGCCACCCCTTTGTCCCTTTTTCATTGTCTCAGTATCCCCAGACAACACATCCTGGCCAGAGGTACCCATTGCCAGGACTTCTAGCATATCAATAATTATATTAAATGCAAATGGTCTAAATGCACCAATTAAAAGATAATTATTGGCAGACTGGATTTAAAAACACAATCCAATTATACGCTATCTCCAAGAGACTCACTTCAACTATAATGATATAGGCAGGTTGAAAATTAAAGAATAGGGAAAGATATATCAAAGGAAAGCAGGAGTAACTATATTAGTATCAACTAAAGTAAACTTCAGAGGAAAGAAAATTACAGAGACAGAGAGGGACAGTATATAATAATTAGGAGGTCAATGTACCAAGAAGACAGAGCAATCCTACATGTGTATACACCAGACAACAGAACTACAAAATGTGTGAAATAAAAACATAGAACAGAAAGGAGGAATGGCCGAATTCACCATCCTCAACACCCCTGTCTCAACTATTGACAGAACAATTAGGAAATCGGCAGGTATGTAGCAAAACTCAACATCACCACCAGTCAACAGGATGCAACCGATATTTATGGAACATTCAGGAAATTGAGTGCTTTCCCCTAAGATCCAGAATAAGACAGCACTGTCAGCTCTCACTACTCTTATTCAACGTAGTGTTGAAAATTCTAGCCAGTGCAATGAGGCAAGGAAAGGAAATAAAAGACATACAGAAGGAAAGGAAGAAATAAAACTGTCTTTTAAAAGATTTATTATTTATGCATACAAGAACTGGGGTACAGGCCAGAGGTGTGGGTGTGAGAGGATTCATCAGAGATAGAGTGGGGAGCAGAACAGGCAGACTGACTGAAATACACTGCTGAGGGGAGCAGCAGGTGAGACAGGAGAGGTCTGCGGTGCCATGTGGGTAGCTCCCTGGCCAGGGATTGAACTCGTGCTGCAGAGTCTGCAGACAGCTTCACAGGTTACTCTTAAGCCCTTGCGCCACCAGGGAGGCCCAAAATAAAACTGTCTTTATGTGCAATGACATGGCTATATAGAAAAATCTCAAGGAATCTACACTAAAGAGCCCAAACTCCTAGGGCTAATTAATGTATGCAGCAACGTCACAGAATACAAGATAAACATACAAAAAAAATGTGTTTCTATGTACTAGCAATGAACACATGGATAGCAAAATTAAAAATATAATACCATTGCCAATCACCAAAAATAAGTAAATAAAATACATAGGTATAAATCTAACAAAATGTGTTCAGGACTTGTATGTTGAAAACTACACTAGGCTGATTAAAGAAATCAAAGCTCTACATAAATGAAGAGACAGACTGTGTTCTCAGGCTGGAAGACTCAACATAATAAAAGTGTCCATTGTCCCCAAACTGATTTAAAAAAAAAAAACCTGGAATTAATTTAATGCAATTTCTATCAGAATCCTAGCAAGATTTTCTACAGATTATAGATTATAAAGTTATTCTAATATTTATATGTGGGGCCTCCCTGGTAGCACAAGGGGTTAAGCACAGCACTGCAAAGATATCCAAGGTCTCTGCAGCACTAGTTTGATCCCCTGCAGGCCATGGAGCTACCCATATGACACAGGAGACCTCTCCTGTCTCACCCGCTGCTCCCCTCTGTGTTGTATTTCAGTCAGACTGCCTGTTCTGTTCCCCACTCTGTCTCTGGTGGATCCTCTCATCCCTCACACTTCTGGCCTGTACCCCAGTTCTTGTATGCATAAATAAATCTTTAGAAAGATAAAATTTATATGTAAAGGTATAGGAACTAAATTAGCTAAAATAATTTTGAAAGAGAATAAAGTGAGAGGAATCAGTTATCTGATCTCAAGACATATACAATGACAGTAATCAAGATGTGTGCCATTTGCAAAGGGTGGCGAATGGAACAGGAGAGAGAAGCCGAATTATTGTACATCCAAATGACTTCTGACAAAGTTACAAAAGCAACTCAATGGTTAAAAAAGAGAGAGACTTTTCAAAAGATGGTGCTGGACTAAATGGGTATCCCTAGGTCAAAGGGGAGGGAAAAGAAAAAACTACAACATCAACCGATCTCATATCTCTTACAAAATTTAACTCAAAATGTACCACAGACTTTATATAAAACATAAAGCTATTAAACCTTCAAAGTAAAACATTGGAGAAAATATTTAGAAACTAGAGATAGGCAAGTTCTTAGACTCACTTGGTGCTGAAAGTATCATCCCTACGAGGAAGAATAAATCATTTGAACTTCATTGAAATTAAAAAGTTTGCTTTGTGAAGATCCAGTTAAGGAGGTAAAAAGGCAAGCTACAAACTGGGAGGAAATATTTGTAAACCACATATCCAAGAAAGGACTACTATCTAGAATATATAAAGAACTCGTAACATTCAACAGCAAAAAAGCAAATCATCAAATGAGAATATGGGCAAAAGACACAAAGAAACATTTTACTGAAGAAAATACACAGATGGCAAATTAACACATGAAAAGATGTTCAACAACATTAGTCATTAGGGAAATGCAAATGAAAACCACAAGGAGATATCACTACACACTTATCAGAATGGCTTAAAAAAAAATAGTGACAACAGCCAATGCTGGCAAGGGTGCAAAGGAACTGAATCACCTATCCACGATGCTGGTGGGAAAGCAAAGTGGTACAGCCACTCTGGAAAAGAGTTTGGCAGTTTTTAAACTAAACATGCAATTAACATATGGCCCCGTAATTGCACTCCTCACCATTTATCCTTGAGCAATAAAGACATGGGTTCACACAAAACCTATACATGAGGGCCTCCCGGTTGGTGCAGCGGTTGAGCGCTGGGTTGCGAAGCTGCCCGCAGCCTCTGCGGCGCCGGTTCAATCCCCGGCTGCTCCCCGGCCACCGGAGGAGGGTCCCACATGGCGCGCAGACCTCTCCTGCCGCCCACTGCTCTCCTCAGCAGTGTACTTCGGTCCTTCTGCCTGCTCTGCTCCCCGCTCTGGCTCTGGTGAATTCTCTCACCCTCCCGCGCTTCTGACTGTACCCAGTGCATGTATAAAAACCAAACAAACAAACAAACAAATAAATAAATAAATGAACATGCCTCTATAAAAAAAAAAAAAAAAAACCTATACATGAATGTTTACAGCTGCCTTATTCATAATAGCCCCCCAAACAAGAAACAACCCAATAAACAGTGGTACTTCCCTGCCGTGGAACATTACTTGGCAATAAAAGGAACAAACTCTTGGGTGACTGACTCTCCAGCTGAGTGAAAAAGCCCATCTCCAAAGATTCCATACTTGTCATCCCAGTTTTGGGTCATTCTGGAAATGACCAAAGTACAGAAATAGAGAAGAGATTAGTGGTTGTCAGGGGTTAAGAGGAAGAGGAGAGGGAGGGAAGTGGGTTTGGCTATTTTGGGTCGATAGGATGGATCTTTGTGGTGATGGAAATATTGACTTTCTGACCGTTTCAAGGTCAACATCTGGCTGTGCTACTATAGTCTAGTTTTGCAAAAAGCATCTTCACCACTGGGTGAAGGACGGGTATACTCACCTGTACCTCACAACTGCACATGGGTCCATAAATACCTCAATGTAAGGTTTCATTAAAAAAAATTAGGTGGGGGGGGCCTCCCTGGTGGCGCAAGGGGTTAAGCACCGCACTATGAAGCAATCTGCAGCCTCTGCAGCATGAGTTCGATCCCTGGCTGGCCACATGGCGCAGTAGACCTCTCCTGTCTTGCTCACTGCTCCCCTCACCAGTGTCTGTTCTGTTCCCCACTCTGTTTCTGGTGAATCCTCTCACACACACACACCCCTCCCCCGTATTCTGGCCTGTACCCCAGTTCTTGTATGCATAAATAAATCTTTAAAAAAAATTTAGGTGGGGGTCTCCCTGGTGGCGCAGGAATTAAAGTCTCAACGCTGTCAAGCTATCCCCAGCTACTGTGGCATGAGTTCGATCCCTGGCCAGGGAGCTGACCCACATGGTGCAGCAGACCTCTCCTGGCTCGCCTGCTGCTCCCCTCAGCAGTGTCTTTCAGCCTGTTCTGCTCCCCACTCTGTCCCTGGTGAATCCTCTCACCACCCCCGACTCTGGCCTGTACCCCAGCTCTTCTACACAAAATAAAATAAATCTCTAAAAAAATTTTAGATGACAATAGTGAAACAGGGCTACAGGGTAGGCTAGAGCCTCAGAGGGACAGTGCCAAGGGAGAGGGCGGGTCACTGTGGGTTCTCACCTGTGCACAACTGCAAGACCACTCGGGCTCAGGGAACAAGAACAATGGGGTGTATTTAACAAACAGGGGAAACAAAGTGTTGCCAAGGCCACAGGCGCCGGCTCTCTCACCCCAGATGGTGTCCACAGTGTCCAGGCGTCCCAGAGCAAAGGCCGCTCCTTCAAGATGGCGCCTCCCGCCAAGGACGCCTGGAGATGGCGGCTGCTGGGCTCCATCTTGGGCAGCTGGGGGTGCTCCGGGTGGGGCCCTGAGAGGGCACCACGCAGCCCAGCCGCAGTCTGAAGGCCGGGGTGGACGGCCCGGGCCGCTGGGCCCACAGCAACGGGGGCTGCAGCACCCAGAGGTGGGGCCAGACGACGCCAAATCCACCAAATCCCTGAGGCCCAAGCCCTCCGCTCGGCCTCGTGTCCGCCCTCAGCGTCCCCACCTGCCTGATTGGACCATTTTCAGTCTCTGATTGGACCATTTTCAGTTCTAAGCCACTGATTGGACCATTTTAGGACCAACCAGCACATTTGGCACCATTTTAGGACCAATCAGCGCATGTCACTAGTGAGCTGATGAACGATTGGTTTACTTAGCTCGCACCTCATTGGTCCATTCTACACAGGCGCCAACTATGAATGAAGAGGCCAGCTGCGGCCAGCACCAGGCCCGGCCAGCGCTGGACAGCCGTGGGCCATTCTGGAGGCTGCAAGGCGGCCTGGGGGCTGGACGGAGGCAGCACTCTGGGCAGCCGGCGGGAAACTACCCCTCTGGCTCTGAGCGCCAAACCTGGCTGGCACCGAATCCCACAGGCAGCAGCTTCTGGGACAGGAGGAAAATGGCCGCGTGTTTTCCAAGGCCTCCCAGTGTGGCCCCAAAGTCCACGCTGCGGGGGGTGCGGGGATGGGGGGGTGGGGGAAAAAGGGAGGGGACTCGGTTTCAGTCCTACAGCTCGAGAGTGGATTGGGCAAAAATGATGAGGATGAGGGAATGAAGACGTTTGGTGAAGATGCTTTTTTTTTTTTTTTTTTTTTTTTAAATGGTGAAAACCCATCCTTGACTTGTTGCTGCCCAAAATTCCTTTAGAAGCTTCTGGTGGTGAAGAGTTTGCTGTGATGCGTCAAGTGCTGGAGGCTTTATGGGCTGTGGCTTGAGGAGAAGCAGGAAGAGTCAAGTTGGAAGATGCCTGGGGAGGTCAGGAGGTCGAGGCCCAGACTAGTGGCCGGCAGGGGCAGGGACTGGCTGGGCCACCTCCTCCCTGGCAGTTTGGGGCTGGTTAGCACAGGTCCATGGGGTGGGGGTGGGGAGCTGAGAGTCCCTGGGGCTCCTTTAGTAGCACCAAAGTGAAAATCTGGGAAATTTTCAGGGGACTGGAAGAAGCCCTCCATGAAGCTCTGTGGGCACCCCGGGTGAAGCTGAGGTCCAGGGTCTTGAAGGCAGGGGCATGCACTCAGTTGTGAGTGCTGCTGAGCTGGGGGGCTCCAGGGTTGAACTTGAAAAGCACTTTCATTTCCCAGGATTTCATTTGTTCAGGTGGGGCCTTTAATTTAGTATATTGGTCAGAGCGGTGGTTAGTGTGTATCAGAAACACCAAGGGGCTTGCTGGAACACACATTTCTGGGTGCTATTCCTAGAGATTTTTATTTCATAGGTCTGCCAGTGGGACTGAGAATTTGCACTTCTAAGGCGTTTCAAGGTGATGCTAATGATCATTCTGGCCCCGGGGAGCTCACTTTGAGAACCACTGGGGTGCAGAATAAAAATCAGAGCGGGGAGATTGTCCCTTATCTCTCTCTGAGGGGAGCACTGGGGTTACCTCCCCATCCTTGTCTGACACAGTTGGGGAGGCCTATGCCTTTTGGTTCCCACAGGGCAGTGACCTGGCAACCTTCAGGGCCTAAGGGGGCTTTGAAGTGTGTGTGTGTGTGTGTGTGTGTGTGCGTGTGTGTAGAATCCCCCAGAGGAATGGGATCTGAACTCCAGAGGAAAGCTAGAATGGGAATACTGGGTGTTCTGGGCATGGAGAGCCCACCAGGGGCGGGAGGCTGACTCTGAGTTAGAGGTCCTAATGCAGCAACCATAGCATGGGGTGGAACGTGAAGGCCCAAAAGAGGGCATTGGGGTGCGCTGGGGGCTATTGGGCAGTGGAGGACCCGGGGAGTGATGTAAAGGATTTAAGGGAGTGTGGATGTGTGTGGGTGTGATTCTTAAAGTTGGGGGGGTGTTGAGATTTGGGGTCTGGGAGCTGATGTAGGGTCGGGGCTGAATGGTGATGTGAGATTGAGATTTGGGGCCCAGGGAAGGGAGATGAGGTTGGACCTGGGGGTACCGAGGGCCAAACCTGAACGGGTCGCGGGTCGACCCCGAGGAGGCCGAGGCGGCAGCGTGTGCGCCCCGGCTCGGAGGAATACGGGAGGGGGCCTGGGGGGGACACCGGGCGGGGCGGGGCGGGGGGACCTGCGCGGGGCGGAGCCGAGTCTTTGCGGGAGCCGGAGCCGGAGCTGGAGCCGGCGGCCGCGCCTCCCTCGCGGTCTCCGCCCGGAGCCCGGCGCCGCCGCCCCGCCGCCCCGCCGCCCCCGCCGGCCGCGCTGTGACCGGGCATGAGCCTGGCGCGTCGTCCCGCCGAGCAAGCGCCCCCGGCCCGGGCCGCGGCGCCCAGGTAACTGGGGGAGCGCGGACGGGAGGGGGACCTAGGCCGCGCCCGAGCCCGCGAGACCCCCGGCGACCCCGGCCTGAAAACTCTCCAAACCCTTGGAACCTTTCTACTCTCGGGGAGGCTCACCGGCCCGCCCCCCAACACCGGCCAGGGGCTCCGAAACTATCCCTGAGCTCCACCGAGCCCCAGGTTTCCTCTCCAGGAAGCCCCGGACCGGGCCTGGCCTCACCCCTGCGCTGCACATACCCTTCCAAGAAACTAAGGCCCCTGAACCCCCCTCCCCGGGACCTGCCACCCCCAAGGGGCATATCCCAGCCCAGCGCAACCCTCCTCTTCCGCCGGACTCTCCTGCTCCCCAGCCTGACCTCCTCTCCCTCAGCTCCCCCTAATTCCAAGACTTCTCTACCCAGTTGCCCCTCGCTGCCCACCCCCACCTGCAAATGGCTCCCATCCTGGCACTGAACTCATGGCCGGCTGCGACCTTTTCTTGAGCCTTTCTCCCCTGGCCCCCCCCGGTCCTGCCCACCTCTCCTTCAGGGCCTCAAAGGTCCTGTTTCTTGTTTTCTGTCACTGCAAAGGGGCACGGGTGACGGCTGGGCACCTGAGTGATGTGGGCAGAGCAGAGCCTCTGTGCAGCCCCCTTGTGGGAAGGTGAGGGGATGGGGGATGTACCACAGTTGTCAGGACACTTGAATGGGGAGTCTGGGGTCTGAAAATCAAGGGCAGCGAGGGGCCTGGCAGTATTCAGGGTAGTGTTGGAGGCTGGACTTGTTTAGTGCAGATTCTTTTCTTTTTCAGAGGGTCGACGCTCTGTGCAGGCTATTCCTGTTCCCATCCCCGGCTGGGTCCCAGGAGGTGCGCCCCCTCCTGCCCAGTTGCTTGCCCCTGTGCCTGGGTGCTGACTACTTCTAGCTCTTCCCTCTGGGACAGGGCAGCAGGGCTGGGCATGACCTCACCCAACCACCCTAGCCAAGGTGGGGCCGCCTGGTCAGGCGTGGACAATGTCGACAGACTCTCTTACCCGGGGCAGCTTTGTACCAACTGGGGCTGGGGCCTGGCTGGTTCTCCAGGGACAGTGCTGGCTTTGCTGGCCAGCACTGGGAGGACCCAGGGAGCTCGGGGCCCACTGCTGCGCCCCCACTTCTAGAAGCTGAGCCAGCTCTAGTGGAGGGAGAAAGGATGGGGACAAACCCTGGAGAGAATTATGCTTTCAGTTCTCCAGTATCCAGCGTCTACGCTGCACTGGCACTAGGTCTGGGCCGGAGTCCCAGACCAGGCTGAGCCATCAGGGAGCTGGCATTTTAGGGGGCTCTGGGAGACAGAGTGGTTGAGCAGCAAATGCACAGATGGAGGGATGAGAAAATCCTATATTCGGGGTGTGACCAAGACAGTGAAACTGAATGTTGTGACAGAGGCTGACTGAGGGGCTCCTTCAGCCAGGGGGTCAGGCCCGCCTCTCTGGGGAGGTGACCTTAGAACTGAGACCTGAATGAAGCGGCAGAATGAACCTTGGGGAGCACGTGAAGGAAAAGAATTGTAGGTGGGGAACAGCAAGTGCAGCGGACCTCTGTGGGAAGGAGTAAGGCATGTGGGGGAAGAAAAAAGGCCAGGGCTGCTGGACATACTGAGGGCGGGGCGGGGGGAGGCTGACACGGTGAGGGGGACCAGGAGAAAGCAGGGTGGCAAAGCACCCACTTCCTGACTTCAGGGCCCAGGAGACTGACTGTTCAGATGTCCTCTCGACCACTGCCCACCTCTGCCCAGTGGGTATTTGCTCTGTCTTTGGATGAGACCTGCAATCTTTCAGGTGCCTTTTTGGGGGATTTGCATGCATGGAGGGAGATGCAGCCCCCCTACCCCTGCTTGCCCCTGAAAACAATTGCGCTGGGGGAGAGAAGACCGCACCATAGGTGATGGAAACCTCCCTGGTGCTGGAGATAATCCCACAGATAGGATCTTTGCCACGGGGTGAAGACAGCTAGACGACAGCTAGCCAGTGCCCAGGTAGGGCTGTCCCTGAAGCCCTGATAAGATCCGATCTGTCATGAGGTGGGGAGGCCCAGCCAGGCAGGCAGCCGCTCCTGCTCAGTCATTGGTTGCCAACAGCAGCAAGTAGCGTTTGTTCTGGAGCCAAAGCCTCCAGGCAGAATCCAGGTGCAGGGAGGGAGTGCTTGCAGCGGCTGCCCCAGGAGGCAGGTGGGCAGGAGGGCCCAGCCCTGCCTTTTGCTGGGCACAGGGAATCTTCCTGCCCCTCCCCACAGGACACCTGCCCTTCCTGGGGAGAGGGGTGTTTCAGCTCTGTCTCTGTGAAGGAGTCCGTGGGGCCTGGCCCCAGGCAGAGACTGTCGTGGTTGGGCCACTGCATTGAAGCGGGACTGGGAGGAGGAATTGGGTGGGGTGGGTTGCTGGCTGCTGTGGTCTCAAAAGGGGTAGCAGGGTACCCTTAGCTCCTCTGGGTGCTCAGAGATGCGCTCACAGGCTTTGCCCCCATGCTGGGAAGAAGCGCTCAGGAGCTCAGCACTTCCCTGGGCTTTCTTCTCTGCTGCAGCTCATGAGGGGAAGAGCTGGTGGGGGGCTCCGGAGT